GTGTTTAATTTCTCGAAGCATTATTTTCTCGTCGGCGACTAGGTATCTATCATCGAAAATCTAAATATCAAACGTTTCCGGCAAATTGTCTACAGCGTTTAAAATTGTCTGCTTCAATAATTTTTAACAAAGTTTTACAAAGCAGCATAGCGTTTGTTTTGACTGCTTTTATTGCTGTTATACCAACTTGAGGGAGACCAGTGCAAGTAGATTGCAAGTGCGCACGAGTATTCCACGAGGCGCACATGCAAGCTCTTTCATCGGCTGACAACAGTTATTTTTGCTGTTATTATATTTTTTGCCTATTTCAAATCTTTCAGACATTCCGACTTTCAGGATTCAGAAAAATTGATAGCAAGATCTTCGGCTTACTGCAAAAACAGATTTAAGTAAAAAGAAGCAGACAAACACAATGTTTTCTGAAAAACAAATTTGCGTTTTTTTATTCTATTTGTTTCTTTAGTAAATAAAACGAAAGATTCTGAGAAGGCAATCGTAGCTGGGAACATGGCCTATTTGATTACCTTCGTAATTTTTTTATACAGGATCTTTTTAGTACACTTTCTGTTTTACTCAGTTTTTGTCAATCGCCTCTGTATTTGAGATTTTTTTATTTTTTCTGCAAAAGTCGATTCATCTTTGCTGAAGTTTTTTGATTTTCCTTACTTCGGTGTTTATTCTAATCGGAAACATTTTCGTTGCTTGTTTTCTTAGCTCCTCGGCTGAGTTTTCTAGATCCTCACCACTATCTTTCTATTTCATGTGTCTATTATTAATGTTTTGCAATATAAATTTGTTATATGAGTGTTTTAACCATTCATAGGTACTAGGGGAGTGTTTTTGATGTTTCTAAGTCTCCGCTTTGTTGAAAGGCCGGTGGTTCGAGCCCACCACGACTCGTGCTCGTTACTGGCATGTAAGGCAACATTACCCAGCCCAGTAAAATAACCAAAAAAAAACTGCACGTGGTTCTTAAGCAGGACATAACAGCGGTTCGCCGTGATCAGCTTTGCAACTCGTTTTTTTGGTGCTTTCTCTTGGATAAATAGTTTTAACGTATCTTAAAATTAGTTCTTAAGTCAATCAGAATACCCAAGAAGTAAAACTAAAGAGGAACATTATTCTGGTTTCCAGGGGCGGATCTAGGTTTTTCTGGAGAGGGGGCGGAATTTCAAAAAAAAGTTAGAAAAAAAAAATGATTTTCTGAGCCCTCTCTAATCTTTATATATGCTTTTTAATGCGAGGATTTCTTTCGTTTTTAGACTCGCAACTTTTCTCAAATTTTTTGAGAGACCTTATAAAACAGCATTGTTTTAGAAAACGGATGATTCAGAATTGAGTATTTTTCAGAAACTAACTTACTGGAGTTAATCCCTGGAGTGTGATGATGATTAATACGTCGGTAACAAAGTTGTCAATTTAAAAAAGTGAGCTTTTAATCAAACGTTCATTGTATTTTTTCAATAACAGTTTTTGATGTACAGATTAATAAACGCGAATGCAGCTCATGTTTTCGTAGTAAAAATGACGGTAAGTTTTGTTCACTCACTTTTGATTGTTGTTGTTTTTTTTTCATCTTACTTATGGAGGCATGTGCGGTAAAGAGAATTGGTGTGAAAAGATGAATTAAAACTTATACTATCTACTTAATACTTGCGACTAAAACTGCAGCAAGTTTTTATTTGTATAATTTTACGGCAGGCTTATTTCGTGGTTCCAGCAAATTATAATTATTTTTTCACTTTACGTTAAATAAACCAATGTTTCCTTCAAATTGAAAATGTCTAAAAAAATATTCTGCTTTTTCTGCAGAAGTCGAAGTCGGAACAATAACAAATCAAAGCTTCCAGAATTTTTTTGTTTTTGTCAGAAAATCATACTTACAGTTTTAAAAGTCATCATTTTAACGCAATAATGTCGACATACAGACATAAAGTAAAAAGAATGGTCTCATCGAATGATTTTTTTAGAAGGTACTGACAATTTACAAAAACTTAAAGTCAATTTAGTGTTGTTTGAATGTTTTTCTCGTCCAGACAAATGAAATCTAGCATTAATTTTTGGCTAAGAAAAGTGTTTTCACACGTTACCATATTTCAATCTGCAGCTTTCCCCCACTTTTTAAGGTGATTTTGGTGATTTTCATTCACATCAGTTGGGTTCCCACGTGTGGTTTTATATAAGAGAACGCTGTCCTGATTTCAATCCAAAACAAATTAAGTTGCAAAAACTTGAAAGTCAGTTGAAAAGAAAAGATTTTTTTTTCACGCCATATACAACTTATGTTTTCATAATTCTAAAAAATTTTTGTAGCCAAGAAAATTAAAAAGCAAAGATTACAAAATTTTTGAAACTTTGTTTAGCAATATCAATTTTTGAAATTTTGATAGGATTGACACATACCATATGATGAGAAAATTGAAAAGTTAGTCAATATTCTATTTTTTGTTGTTGACTTGATGTGAAAAACCAAGTGAAACTCAAAAGTATTTTTAATTTCAAATAAGTTGAAAACGCTCGTAACACAACTTCAAACAACGAAAAACTGCTAATCACACAAGTTCACCCTATGAAAAAAAAGCTAGTCGTAAGGTTATCTGGCACTTTGTGGACCAGTTAGTTTCACAAGTGAGGAATTTTATTACTAGCGTTTTTTTTGTCAACCCGGGTATATGTGTAAACACAAATCCAAGCCCTGATGTTTATAGTACGTGCAGCATTCTTAAAATTGATTTAAAGGCATTTTAATTGGCTCAACTTCAATTACCTGACTTCCATTTGTTTGGGGGAAAATGGAGATAATTCTTTCTGTTGACAATTTAATAGGAGATAATTCACTCGGGGAGATATCTCTTTCCCTCTTTTGCCAAATTATTCTTCTTTCACCGAAACAATAAAGTCAAGTAATTGAAAAATAGACAAATGAACTCCCTCTGAAGCAAAATCAGCTACTTCTAAAACAATTTGCGGCCAAGTAGCACAGAATGTTCCGATCATAAAAATTTTTCAAATCAAACTACAATTTAAATTTCTTCAAATCAAGTTCTTCCTAGCAGTTCTACAAACACAAGTTTTTTAAATGAATGTCAATTTTTGTGCGTGGTGTGAATGGAAAACTATACGGGTGTAAAGAATTCGCGCATTACCTATAATCAACCACAGTTGTCTTCAAAAAAAGAATGAGAAAAACAGAAAAAAATTGTTCGAAAAAAAATCGTCCCCTTTGCTTTTGTCCCCGTTATTTCAATTCTCTAATTTTTTGTCAGGGAAAAGGCAAATAAAATTTCAAATCTACTTTTCATTTTAAAAAATGAAGTTATTTTAGACTAAATGACAATTTAACAATTCGTCATCACTTTATTTGGTCGCTTTATTTGGTCTTTTTCTTCTTTCAATACTAGACGAAAAATCAAAATTCGAATTTGATTTTTCTCAACACTGAGAAATTTTTAAAGAAAATTTACGAATATGATAATGATATCGCATCACAAATAATGATAATGGCTTCAATATGATATATCGCTCTGTCAATTCCGACGATTAATTGTGGCACTTGATTTTGTGTGAAAAAAAACACACCCGAATACAAAGTGCCACCCCATTTTCAATGGTCGTAACAATAAGCCTGATAGGGTTTTATCAACAAGAAAACGTCCATTAAAATTTATAATGTCAAAAACTGTAAAGTGTATGGCACCGTTAAATTCGCGGCGAAAAAAAAACTCGAAACAGAAGTCAATTAGTCGAAAATTTTCATCGATGTGTAAAAAATAATTGAGCCAGTGTTTGCCGCTAATCATGATTGGGGTTTAAAATTTGTGTTTTTATAGTTATTTATTGTAGCTACTTTCCTTATATATTGCGAATTTTATATGCTTTAGCCGGTTGTTTTTTTGTTGCAAACTTTTGTTTCACTATGCGGTTCCTGATTTTTATAGAGACTTGGCCTTATTCTTAAAAAATTGTCACATTTGGCTTAGATATATGAATGATGCTTTTCAAAAGCTAATATTTCTTGACAACTTTGAAGCGATAAGTCAAAACAGTTTTCTGCTATCATAGCTATAAGCTTCTATAAGGTACCACCCTTTGATATACTTTGTCGTTTCAAAAGGCAGTGGTCTAATCAAATCATTTCAACATGAAATAAGGGTGCATATACAAAACAGTCCCATACAAAACAGTCCAATACAAAATAGTCCTGTTTTGTATTGGACTGTTTTGTATGGGACTGTTTTGTTCAGACACGGAAATAAGGCAAGCAATTTAACTGAAATTTTATTATTAGGCCACTACGCGAAATATATAAATTTGAGTTTAACATTGCGTCTGGGGGATAGACAAAAGATTTAAAAAACATACCCCCCCCCCCCAGGGATTCGACCCCCTGCCGACCCAAAGGGTCCCCCCTTTGATAATTTTTCAGAAATCCATCTTTGGCCGACCGACCCTAAAATTTTTCTAAAGGCGCCTTTGCCGCCAATAAATACTAACTTTGAGGGGGAGCGCGCGCCAAAAAAAACGCGATTTTTTTGTCAAAATTTTTCAAAAAGTGCCCAAAAACGGACCTGATCAAAGATTTTCTCAAGAGGGACGTGGGCGATTTTTCAAAAAAAAATTAATTTGATCAATATGATTTTCGACAAATTTAGCCACAACACTATAAATTTTCTATTTCGCGAAAATTTTTTGCATCCTTACCATTTTAAAAAAGGCCAAGAAAGCTATTTTGGATTTTTAAAAAAGTTTTACCAATAAGGATTCGTCATTTAGACGCACGCTTTCCGTCAAAATTTGAATATATTGGCGCCAAAAGCGCTCTTAAAAATTTTTCAGGGTCGCTCAGCTAAAAAAAGATGTCCTACAAAGCACCAAAGGGAGACTCTACCGAATGTGAGGTCGAGTTATTCCTGAGTGGGAAGGAAAGCGTCCGCCCCTCTCCCTTCAATAAATTCACGATTGGAACCAATTAAATTGCTAAATGGAAAGTTTAATCAAACCTGGAAAATTGATATTTGCTGACTAAGTCGTACCCGATTTGCCGAATAACTGCAATTCACAAACTTTTAGTAATAACTAATCAATGTAAGGGAAATGTCAAATTGCATCAAAATATGAGATCAATTAATATTTTCAGAGCTGTTTTTGACTTATTATGAGGCTAACAAAATTTGTTAATCGATAATTCCGGGCTCGAACACGATTGGATTCTGGTAAGGGCGGCGTTGGTAAAAAAATCCGTTTTGGTAGTTAAAACCTATATAGTCACTATAAATACTCTAACTTTATTTTGATACCTTTCGGATTAACCATTCAACTTAAGTTGGTTTTGCGTTCAACATATGGTAGATACCGTTATATGGAATAACAGAGCCAATTCTGCGAGATTTAAAGTCAATACTATCTCTCTTTATGCGATTTCCACTATAAAGCACGACAACATATAAACTTTTTCCTAATAGAATGAATTAAAGGCCACCATATGGCGCTTAAATTTGGTGTCTTCATTCATTCAGAATCAGAATCAAAACATACCAAAACTAAAACCGAACTGAAGCTAAAACTACTGAATGGGAAATAAAATGCATGTTTAAATGATTTCTCTATTCCTAAACTAGGCAATAACATTGTGGACGTTAAATGGTTTCGAGTTACGGCCAATTTTTACGGTAAAATCCCTCATTTTGGTTGATACAATCGCAAGATATTTTCGGGGAAAAGTGTTCGAAAGTAATCCCTGTATTTCATAAATTCAAAGTGACGTTACTCCATTTTTCTATATTGCGCAATCTTTTAGCGAACAATTAGGGTTGAGCTTGGAAACCGATCCCTAGATTAGCAAAACCAAACGCAGATCTTGTTGAATATCCCCCGATAATAATAAGAGTTTCCACCCCTATAACGGACTGATTCAATCATTATGCCTATGCGAATTTCATACATTGGAACGAGTTACCCACTTTTGTCATAGCAGAGAGGTATAATTTTCTAACATGTCGGGTAAAGTAATGAGTTAAGTTTTTATAAGCTTATAATAATTCTAGTTTTCTAGTAATGAAACTGAGCACCGAGAAAAAAGTGGCCAAAATTAATTTGCCATGATTTATTTTTGAGCTGTTAAAATTTTAAAAATTGTTTTTTTTTTATACCTTAGCAAACCTACGGATAGACAATACCCCTGTTTTCAAATTTAGGCTTAAGTTATCGATTATAATGGATTATTATGTAGACTCTTCGATAATTATAATTGATTATAATTATCAAAATTAAGTGACTAAGGGAATTATAATCGATTATAACCGTGATATTTTCCAAAAGTTTCCAAATTATATAATCTATTATAATTGATTTTAGTTCATAGAGAAAATAGTCGGTTATAATTGATTATAATCTCTTTTTTTGCCAAATTTTTGTTGCATCAAAAGTGTCTTTTAAATATATCATATGAGTTATTATTTGTATTTCAATAACAAAGTCTTTAAAATGAGATGTCTTGCCACATCACACGTTGCCTCATCTGAACACAAAGTTTTAGAAGGATTTAAGAGTTTCATAGAGATACCTTCATATTACTTGAAGTTTCCGCGGAAGATGAAAAACAATTATTATGAATAAATCATGAAACTAAAACAATATTCTGATATTTTGGTGGTTAATTGGGAATCCTGAAAATCTAACTAAGAAGCAGAAATTTTTTAAATATACAAGTTACATATATATGTGATTTGCTTTAAAAATTGCTGAAACATAAGCCAACGTCTATAAAAATCATAATTTAAAACCAATTCAAACGTAGGATCGAACACAAAAAATGGTATTATAATCGGTTAAAATGAAATTTTTGTGCATAATTAGAAATTGGGATAAAAATAATTGATCATAATTGATCATAAAGGTATCGAAAATTAGATGTAATAATAATCGATTATTAATTATTGAAATGTGTAATAAAATATTATAACAGATTACTAAGACTGGCACTAAAATAATTATATATAATTGATTATTGACGCCTAAAACTGAATGCGGGACAGCGGGAGGGTTATTGAGTGCAAGAAAAAATTGGTACTAGAACTTGTGAAATCACCAGCTTTCGTTTGGCCCGGGTCGAGGTCCCAGACTCATGTACAGACTTTAAGGGTCGCGCCACAACCGGATTTAGACCCAAATTGCATAGTCGCACCGAGAGTTTGAGTATGGAAAATCTGGACATGAGTCGCGCTGTGGGCTGCGAAAGTCTGGACATGGCGACCCGAGTTTTAGAAACTTTATTCAGGTAATGCATGGACCTACCTCAGTTGAACAATGTATAATTTGGCAGGTATTCACAAATGACAACTCAAAGTTAATCAGGTATAAATTACTAGAAGATAGCAAGAATTTTTTTTACAATTACTGAATAAGTTTAAGCAATCAAGAGATTGTTTTCTTTATTACAACAGCTGATATAGCAGTTATTTTTGATCACACACGCAGCTAGACTGTCGCAATGATGACTCAGTCTCAAGAAGTTATCTACGATAGAACTCAAAAAGAGTTTTATTATAAGATTGCTTGTCTATTACAAAGTTTTGTTAGATAATGATGACCTACTTTTAAAATGTTATCGAGTTGAAGGCGGCTCAATGAACTTTCAGTTGCGCCTAGTCCACATAAACGTCTGGTGATCCGGATACCGTCTCAGTATTGACTCTGGTAAAACTGTCTGTTATCAGAGCTTAAATAAAGATTATTTTTGACCTGGCGACATGAAGTATTGTACTCTCGTCCAAAGATCAGAATCGATAAGACTCTATCAAATGACGCTAAGAACAACTCGAGATGCGTGAACTCTCAGTCGAGGAACTTTTGTTATAAATGTTCGCGTCAGTCAAAGCAGGGGATTTCTTTTTCTCAAAACAAACACGTTCAGCTAGATTAAATTTAGCAAAAAACAACAGAAAAAAAATCATAGGAAATTCGATGAAAGCATTGTAAGACTTGGCATTCAGCGGCGACCTTGTCAGTGTTCAAATGAACTTCTCATCGAGGGCCTTTTTTGACAAATGGAGGCAACCAAATTAAAAAAACAAGCTCACTACCTGAATTAACTTGTATTTAATAATAAATAGAAGTCAATTTCGTTTTTCGTGACTTTTACACGTTTGCTGTTCGATAGGTAAGTTTGCCTTTCTTTAACAAAAGGAATGAATTGAAAATTAAAAAGAAATCAAGAGACAAAATGGAAAAAAAATCAAATTTGAGCGTAAGCTAAACTTATAATTTTTCCTTGAAAAAAAATGTCACGACTTTTATATAAGAACCTTCGCTAAAATCATCAACTCTTATTTACTTTTCATAACGAGTCAAGTCCACGTTTGAACAGCCAGAAACAGTTAAACACCTCGGAATCAACCTCAAAATGTTGTCAAATAGGACCCAAAACTTAGTAGCTTTGCAGACGTTTGCCTCACAATTGCACATGTAAAACATTTCGTACCTGATTAGAAAAGTCTTTTTTTTAAAGACATATAACCAAAAACATTGATCTGAATTTCTCAAATTTGCGGCGATAGAATCATCTTCAACCTAATAAACCAAAACTAGCTAGCACTTTTCCATTAAAAACCCAGCTTGCAAAAAAAGTTGTTCTGAGCAAGTTATTCCAGCATTGAACCTTTCAATAGTTTCAACTTAACCTATATCGTGAATCGGTTTGCAAATAAATAATTTTTTTGAGGCAAGCCATTCATTCAAATGATGCTAAGTTGAAACATTCAAACTTGTTCAAGTAACTTATGTTTCTTCAGCTTAAGCTTTTTCGCAAAAATTATCTGAGCAAGCCCACCAGAAAACTTAAATGTTTCATGTTATTTTCCACCTTTAATCAATCGGTAGACAGTTAATTTTCTGAGCAGGCCATTGGAGCGATACAAATTAAATTTTTAAAAATTGTTTCAGAATGCAAAAATTTCAAGATTTTCTGATCAGGCCAACCTAGTCTTAAGACTTTTTAAAAATAATTCAAGTTCTTTCATAAAGAATCGAATTGCAAAAAGTTAAGCTTTTTCTAAGCAAGCAATCAATTCAGAAGTTTTTCAATTTTATACACACGATGAAACAATTGAAGATTTTATGGTATCACATACCTTAATTGGAACAGCAAAATTGTGTTGTTTTCGAAGAAAATCTTTACAGACTGAAATTTTCAAAAAACTTCATGCAGTGAAATTTTTCGTAAAATAATCTTTTCCAACCAAAGTGCCCAAACTGTTGAATTTTTCAATCACGTCCAAGACCAATTTCATTTGGAAAAAAGTCAGTTTTTCTATGAATGATGTTCAAGCAATTGCAAGTTTTTGCGAGTACGCTATTCAAATTATGAAGAATTGAAATTTTTTCAAGCTCTCTCATAGATCGAGTGGGTTTGCAAAAAAAGAAGTTTTTGGTGCAATTTATTCAAGCGAAGAAGTTCAAAATATATCAAGCGACTTCATAGAGCGAAGCAGTGTGCCAAAAATTTGAAAACTTTTAAGCAAGCTCTTCAAAAGATAGAGCTTGGAAATATTTCATGGAGCCAATCGGCTTGCAAAAATTTGAGGTTTTCTCTGCAAGTTTGTAAAAAAATTAAACTTTTACCAATTTCTGAGTTATTTGATAAAACGAATACGTTTGCAAAAAGTTTTCTAAGCAAACTAGAGTTGATTTTTTGAAGCTATTCAGGTCAACTAGAGGAGAAAATCTTTTGACCAAAACTGAAGTTGTTATAAGCAAGCTATTGAGGAGATGAAAATTTAAATAGTTCAAGCTATTTCCTAGAGAGGGCCGGTTCGCTAAATGTGTGTTCTTCTATCCGACTTGATGCTCATAGCTTGATACAAAAAGCAACAAAATATAGTTTTTCTCAAGCAAGCTATTGAGAGATGAATCTTTGAAAATTTTCAAATTGTTGTTACAGCTTGAAGCGTTACAACAGGATGAATTTGTTTCATCGATCAATCAATTGAGTTTCAGAAAAGAATAAATTTTAAAGTTGTTTCCACAGTTTAAATCAGTGCGCTAAAAGTCAGGTTTTTTTGTCAATCAAGTTCTTGACTGATGAAATTATACAAAAAAGTCAGTTTTCATTCATAGAACCTTTTCGCAAAATGTTTTTTTTTCAAGTGATTAGTAATCGATGAAACCTTAAAAAAATTTTCTGGCTAATTTTCATTGCTTTAATCGGTTCGCAAAACGTATGTTTTTTTTGCCAAGCACCTTAATGATTGATGAATTATCCAAATAGCTAAGGTTGTACTTCATAGCTAGAACCACTTGAGATATATTACTTTTTTTGCCGAGCAAATTATTGATCAAGAGAAAACTTTTAACCTTGTTTTTTCTTAATTCTAACTTATTTCCGAAGATTTTACTACTGAGCGTTCAACTTTGCTTTCATTACTTAAATCAATTCTACAAAAGTTTTTTTTTTGTCAAGCAAGCTATTCAAGCAATATAATTTTTGAATATTTCTACTTTTTATTGCTTCAACAACCTTCTTGCAAAATTGTTTTGACTTTTTTTTTAACTTGCTTTACATTCCTAACAAATACGCTCTTTTGTAAAAAAAAACTGGGCTCTCTTAATATTTCAACTTACTGTTTTATTGCAACTTATGAAACCATCTAATATATAATGATAAAGCAACTTGCAAGATTTTGAAGTTGTTTTATACCGTAAAACATTTGGCAAAAATTGAAGTTTTACCAATTTTTGAGTTATTTGATAAAACGAATAGGTTTGCAAAAAGTTTTCTAAGCAAACTAGAGTTGATTTTTTGAAGCTATTCAGGTCAACTAGAGGAGAAAATCTTTTGACCAAAACTGAAGTTGTTATAAGCAAGCTATTGAGGAGATGAAAATTTAAATAGTTCAAGCTATTTCCTAGAGCGGGCCGGTTCGCTAAATGTTTGTTCTTCTATCCGACTTGATGCTCATAGCTTGATACAAAAAGCAACAAAATATAGTTTTTCTCAAGCAAGCTTTTGAGAGATGAATCTTTGAAAAATTTCAAATTGTTGTTACAGCTTGAAGCGTTACAACAGGATGAATTTGTTTCATCGATCAATCAATTGAGTTTCAGAAAAGAATAAATTTTAAAGTTGTTTCCACAGTTTAAATCAGTGCGCTAAAAGTCAGATTTTTTTGTCAATCAAGTTTTTGACTGATGAAATTATAAAAAAAAAGTCAGTTTTCATTCATAGAACCTTTTCGCAAAATGTTTTTTTTTCAAGTGATTAGTAATCAATGAAACCTTAAAAAAATTTTCTGGCTAATTTTCATTGCTTTAATCGGTTCGCAAAACGTATGTTTTCTTTGCCAAGCACCTTAATGATTGATGAATTATCCAAATAGCTAAAGTTGTACTTCATAGCTAGAACCACTTGAGATATATTACTTTTTTTGCCGAGCAAATTATTGATCAAGAGAAAACTTTTAACCTTGTTTTTTCTTAATTCTAACTTATTTCCGAAGATTTTACTACTGAGCGTTCAACTTTGCTTTCATAACTTAAATGAATTCTACAAAAAATTTTTTTTGTCAAGCAAGCTATTCAAGCAATATAATTTTTGAATATTTCTACTTTTTATTGCTTCAACAACCTTCTTGCAAAATTGTTTTGACTTTTTTTTTAACTTGCTTTACATTCCTAACAAATACGCTCTTTTGTAAAAAAAAAAACTGGGCTCTCTTAATATTTCAACTTACTGTTTTATTGCAACTTATGAAACCATTCAATATATAATGATAAAGCAACTTGCAAGATTTTGAAGTTGTTTTATACCGTAAAACATTTGGCAAAAATTGAAGTTTTTCTAAGCCGGCCGTTCAAGCGATGAAGCTTTTGAAGTTAAAGATAGCATGAATCACATCGCAGAGGTCAATAGTTTGCTGAGCAATCTATTCAAACAGTGATTTTTAAACACCGAAAAATGGTTCGCGAAAGTTTGCATGTTTTTATACAATCTGATCAAACCAGGAAACTTTGGAACAATTTGAGATAATTGATAGAGCAAATAGGTTTGCATTTTTTTTTCCATTTCAAATTGTTTTTAGTAGCTTGATTCAAAACGCAAATAACTTATTTTTTTCATGCACGCCATTGAGAGATGAAACTTTGAAATCAAAATCCTGATTTGTTTTTATAGATTGAATCGGTACGAGAGGAGGGAGAATTTTTTCAATAAAAACTATTTTTCAATAAAAATTACCAGCTTTTTATGAAGTTTCCAATCGGTTCGCACAAAAAAAATCTTGCGGAACAATTTATTGACCTATGAAACTCAAAAACATTCAAAATTGTTTTTCATAGCTTGAATCGATTCGCGAGATGTAAAATTTTGCCGCTGTTAAAATTGTTCAAAATGTTTTTTCAGCTGGAATCGGTTTTCCAAATTTAATGTTTTTTCTCAAGCAAGCAATGAAAAGCGAAAGAGTTTTGAAACAAATCATTTTTTATTTCCATAGCTTAGATTGGTGGGCAAAAATCAAGCAGGCTACTCAAACAATTGATTGTGTTTTGAATGCTTGAATGTTAACTGAAGGAAAAAAAAATTTTTCAAGCAAGCTTCTGAAAATTTAATTGTTTCAAGTTTTTTTAAGCTTAGCAAGCTATCTGTTCGCAGAAGATACTTTTTGAACGTTTCAGAGCAAGAAAGGAGGTTGATGTTGCAAATTGGTTTGGTTGAAAAGCAATCTGTTCACGCAAAGCTTCAGAAATAAACTGACAGGTATTGTCTAGACTTGAAGTTGAGTCGAATTGATGTTGTCCGAAGAGTTGAGTTTTCAAAATTAAATCTAAAAGACTTCAGACTTTAGAACGGTTGGAATATCTAGAATATTAATGGCCTTCTCCTAAACGCAGAGTCTGATGATCTTTTTAAAACATGAGCTCGACAAAACTAAAACTTTGTGTTCAGTTAATACTTACGTGCATAGTGGAACCTGATCTAAACTACATTTTATAATTGGATAAATTGGATATTTTACCACTGTAAAATATTTAATATAAACCAATCATAATCCATCTAACTAACAACCCACTTATTTGTAAGTGCTGAAATTACTTGTAATTTCAGCACCAGAGAGATTTGAATTTAACTTAGAAATTAGTTGCCTCTCCAAGAGAACTTCAGCAGCCTCAATAAACCAGTATAACCTAGATCTATTGAGCCTAGCAGAGACTAGTTAAACACCCTGAGACTAGTAGATATAAGAGTAAGATTGGGATCGGTATTAGACTAAGAAGTTGCACGAATCTATCCGGCCGAAAATAAGATAGCGTGACGAGCAGACGGTGTACCCTATCCGAAATTACTCTATGAGTTAACCACATCGGTCATAACTCAATAGCTCCGTCGGATTTTCAATTTAAATATAAGATTAAATTAAACTACTTAATTAACAAAACTACTATAATTAGAAATTAGCACGCGAAGCAATGACATTGATTACTTTTTGACTGTTTCAGTCTTAATTGGTTCCTCATAAAATGCCTTTTTGAAAACTAAGACGGAGGCGGCATGGCGTACTGATACACGACTGAGTCATCGATTTGTGTGCTGCTTATTGTACTGATTGATGACTGGTAGTCTGGTGGCGAACCAGTATCGTTTTGCTGGTTCAATTCCCTTCTTATTTCTGGCGTGCCTGGAATGTTGTACGCCGGCGGTGCTTCATCTGGCTCATGGGTTGTTAAGTCGTTTGTTCTGAAATTGGTAAACTGACTTTGAATTTTTTCTATTACTGTTTTGAGTCCACTGAAGCAACAATAGCGTACTCTGTTTTTCTTCCTATTGTGACGACTTTAAAAAAAACTCTCAGAGCGTTGAGTGTGCGGTTTTGAAGCCTTGTTGACGTGATTCGAATTGCCTTTTAGACTAGATTTCAAAAAAATGCCTTTTCAAAAAAATTCCCACTGAAAATCCATTCTAAATGATCACATTTAGTAAACTTTGGGATATTTTTCCGTCCCCCCACACACCTGCTAAATTTTACAACAAAAAAAATTAGTTCATATTGTCCGATTGTCATGAAAAATTACATGCAGACTAATTAAGCTATGACAAACATATTTGTTCTTCACAATCAACCTTGTACTTGTAAAACCGCTCGTTAGACCATAAAATTGATGCTCGTGTGAGGTGGGAGGGGGGTGGGGGGATTTGGGGGGGGGGGGGGGGGAGAGGTAGGAAAAAGATCCAAAATTTGTTTACCTTCGGCTGTTTGGTGGTTCGGCAAATCGCATGACATAATGAGCTTCTGGCACGACCGCATCTTGTAGGTTTAAAGAGTACTTGGGCAGTCTAGGCTTCAATTCGTCATCCTCTGTAGGCTGAGGTTGAGCTGTGGCGTGGAAGTCGTTTACATTCAAGCTGCAAACGATAAAACCAAAATTGAAAAGTGAGTCTTTGAGCTACTTTCTATCACCACCCTTTTCAACTTTTGTTCCGACTTTCGAAAAAACGGAATAATTATGCTCGGTATGAATTTTTTTATTCAGTCAATTTTCGGCGATCGAAAAAATAATTTTCAACAAAAACTTTTATTCCCCATTGGAGATATTTGACTTCTTGAGTTAAAATGTAAAAAGATATTTCATCTCCGATTATTTTTTGCAAAGTTCTTGGGGTTTGAGAATTGTCATTTTGGCCAATTAGGGACAATTAACGCGCGATATATTGCGCGTTATTAACGCGTTAAGCGGAGATTTAACCCGTCTTAGAAATTGTTCCAAATTGGTTGAAGGAAGCTTGTTTGCCATAATTGATTTGTTACTAGGAGCGAAATCTATCACCCTGTACTTTATATAGCGTGTGGGGGGATGGTTTTCACAAAAAAATCTCAAACTTTAAAAAAACTCATTTTTTACAGTTGATTTTTTCGAGTTGTCACTGCTCCATAGACCTTAAAAGACAGTCGGAACATTCAGGGCCTCGCCATGATTTGAGCAGTCTTGTTACAATTGATTTTTGATTTTGTTCAAAATTTATAGTTTTTCACTATTTTCTCTTCCCAAAACTATTCGACATGGAATAAAGGACAGTCGAAACATTCAGGAATCTGTCCTAATTAGCAGCAGTCTTGTTGTTCCACTTTCCGAAGAAAACGGAATTTTTATGCTCGGTTTGTTTTTTTCATTCAGTCAATTTTCACCGATCGAAATAATAATTTTCAACAAAAACTTTTTTATACCCCATTGAAGCTATCGACTTCCTGAATTCAAATGTCAAACAAAATTTCACCTCCGATCATTTTTTGTAAAGTTCTGGGGATTTGAAATTGCCAAATTTTCCATGTACTGGACTAAATTATGCGAGCTTTTAAAAGTTTTTTCATAATGCTGAGAGCGTAACGCGAACTATTTATGCGTGCCGAATTATCCCGCTCAACAAAATCATTCCAAATTGAATTGAGGCTAGCTAATTGGTCGTATTAGTTTCGTACGACTCAAAATTTTACACATTGATATTGTCCAAAATGCATAGGTTTTCAATACTTTCTTTTCCCAAAAACTATTCGATATGAATTAAGGTACAGTCGGAACATTCAGGGCTTCGCCCTGAAATACGAGCAGTCTTGTCTTTTTATAGTTTTTTTTGTGTTTTCATAAAGATTTACGTGTTGTAAAGATGTACGGTATTAAGAACAAATCTGTGCACAATTGTTAGTCTGTTCACCATGCCAAGTGTCATTGCATGTGACAGCATTGAAAAAAAGTTATAAATTTAAAACTGATAGGTGGGGAGGGGAGTGGAAAATAGCCGGTCTTTGATAGTTTCAATTTCTATAAAAAAAGGTTTGTTATTTCATGTTTAATTTTTATGAATGAATTATATTGGTGGTGTAACGTGATAGTTTTTCGAGCTCCAAGTTTCGTCAGACGTTTTCAAATTTCCTTTTTTCCCTATTTTGTCTTTTTAACTATAAAAAGTCAATTTCGAATATTGTAAAAAGTAACGAATTTTCAGCTTTTGCAATAAGGAAAAACAATCAAACGTATCTTCGGTTTTTTTAACAAACGCAACAGAAAAACTAACATGAGTGTGATTATACCAGCCGAGAAACACGTCATTTGAATGAACTTTGCCTAACTGTTACATAATTATAACATAGCAAATAACCTTCTTTGAATCAGCTTGGAACGATTTCTAAGAAAGATTAAATCTTTCGCTCACGCGCTCACGCGTTAATAGCGCGAAATTTATCGAGCGTTTCTCAAATTGGCCAAAATCACAATCTTTAAACCCCATAACTTTTTTTAAAAAATGAGAGCAGCTGAATAATTTTTTCAACTTTAAGCTCAGGACAACAAAAGTTTTCGAATGATATAAAAAATATCCGTCATAAATGGCTAGTTAAAAAGTCGAAATTTGTCTGAGGAAAAAAACCCACCCGAGCACAAATATTTCGTTATTTTCGTTACGAAAGTCGGAACAATTACACTTTTGGGACCAAATGAGCAATTTTCCACCCGAAATCAATTAAGGGGGAGAAAGTTCACTTGGTTAAATTACCATTTTTTTAGCCAATCAGGTTTGAGCATAGATTTGAGCATTAGATTTGTCATTTAATTTTAGGAGTGACAGTGTTCACTTGGTTTATTAAGAGGAGATATTGTTCACATGGGCCCACTTTTGTAGACAAAAAACGAGGCCACGAGAGATGTAACATACTCGAAAAACAATTAAAAGCATAGGAAAACGTAGGGTGGTACAGTGCTGATTTAAATTAACCGGAAGAAACGCGTTAAACTTGAAATTTAAAACCCGTTTTTCTCAAATTGGGTTGAGTTTAGGTGAAAACTTATGAAGACAAAATTTGCTTAAAATTTTAGCAGAATTAATATAGTGTAATTTATTTTGCGAAATTTATTTTGCGAAAGTTTTGTCTTCATAAGTTTTCACCTAAACTCAACCCAATTTGAAATAAAAGGGTTTTAAATTTCAAGTTGACCGCGTTTTGTCCGGTTAATTTAAATCAGCACTTTATAATATCGGCCAAAAATGCGGCGAATTACGCATATGATTTAAAACAGCCAATGCTTTGACGTGTTTTGGCAGCAGGAAAAAAATTAAGACTCAAAACTAGAGACACTAAACGGTTTTGTATGTACAATGCATTAGAAACGACCTGAGTTTGAAGTTTTAATCAATTCTTTCTCAATCCTTGCTCAATCATTGCTCAAGGCAAGCAAAAATTTTAAATACAAAATAAATAGACTTTTTGAGCGTTTTTGAAAAACTTTATTCAGAGAAACGGAAAAAACCTAACTTTTGCCGACCCAGGAATACGTTATGCACACAAAATATTAAATTTTACTCATATTCTTTCAGGCTTCTCTAAGGAACGCTTTGATCTGATATTTTCGAGAGTTCGGACCTATTGCGGGACCTAAGTTTTATGAGCGATTATTATTTTCTGTTTGATATGTAGTTCGGCTTGCTTTTACCATTTCTGAATAACCAGTTTTATGACTACATGCAAAACACGCAACTCACAACGACCGGGCTATTAGCATGTGTGTTGATTAGCATGTCATTGTAAAAATATGCAGCTGACTCGTTTACTATTTCAAAAATTGTTTTTGTCATTTCTGTTTTCTCGGGTACCGTGCATTTTTTGTGCAAAGGGTAAGTGCAAAGGTTTAGTTAAACCAAGTTCATGGTTTAACTGCAAATATGCAGCTGACTCGTTTACTATTTCAAAAATTGTTTTTGTCATTTCTGTTTTCTCGGGTACCGTGCATTTTTTGTGCAGAGGGTAAGTGCAAAGGTTTAGTTAAACCAAGTTCACTTTTCGATTCTTCGAATAAATGAAACAAGACTGCTCAAATCAGGGCGAAGCCCTGAATGTCCCGACTGCCTTTTAAAGTTTATGGAGCAGCAGTAATAGCATAAAAAAGTTAAATGAAATAAAATAAAATCCTTGTAACAAATCAATTATGGCAAATAAGCTTCGTTCAACCAATTTGGAACGATTTATAAGACGGATTAAATCTCCGCTTACGCGTTAATAGCGCGAATTATATCGCGCGTTAATTGTCCCAAATTGGTCAAAATGGCCAAAATGGCAATCTGTAAACCCTCATAATTTTACGAAAAATGATCACAGGTGAAATATCTTTTCAAATTTAAGCTCAGGATAACAATATCTTTTGAATGATATAAAAAATTCCGTCAAAGATGGCTAATTAAAAAAAAAACTTATCTGAAGAAAAAAAACCCATCCCGATTACAAATATTCCGTTACTTTCGTATCGAAAGTCGGAGCAATAACATTTCAAGTAGAATGAAAAATTAGGCTCTCTTGCTTCGATTGAATGTGCGCCTCATTGACACATTGAGCGCAGTTTAAAAAGCACACATGCTAAACTCGTAACGCCTGCTCTAATTAACGCTTAAAACTCCGCAAATCGCAGCACACTTGTCATGCAATTCGAAGCACCAGTTGGCCATGGCTCATGTTGGTCTGGAAAGTCGCGCCGTCTCCATCTAGGTCTGGAAAGCCTTTTAATAGCTAATTTTGGTCGCGCCGGTCACGCCATTTCCTGAGCCGCAGGGTCGCGCCGTATCCGCCTCGGTCGCGAAAGTCGCGCCTTAGTTTTTCGATTGCGAAAGTCTGGAAATGGCAACTCTTGGTCGCGAGAGTCTGGACATACCAAATATGAGTCACGAAGTTTTGGTCGCGCCACCTCCGCTTCGGTCGCGATGGTCGCGACGGATCATCATGGTTGCAAAGGTCTTGAAACGACAGGTTTTGCGCGCATCATTATCTACGTCATTCGCTTGCTGCCTATCAGATACACAAATCAGCAGTATCAAAGAACAAATCAACAGTATAAGTGTTCGCTACAATCGCGTCAGCGTGTTAAGAGGCTGCCAACAAAGGGCAGGACTATGCACGAAATTTAGAGCCCGTTATTTCCGCGAACCGGCGATGTGCGCATAGCGCGACCACCGGCGACTTTATACCGACACCCGCATTTGACGTTTTGGACCAATTTTTACCAATACCGAATAGAGAGTTAATCAATAGGAGGTTGCGGCTAAAATATACACTTAAATTATCAAAGTTTTGCCTAAATCTAACGCTTTTATATTCGCCCAATAAAGTTTTCGACTGCTATATACAACCTCTTTATACACATTTTACTCATAGTTCAACGGGCGTTAAAATTTTAACTTATATTCGAAGCAAGCAACAAGTTATAATCAAACTATAAGTAGACAAGACTGCTCGTATCGAAGCAAGGCCCTGAATTTTCCAACTGCCCAATAGCAGGCCTCGAATAGTTTTTGTTTAATGAAGTATTGACAAAATATGAATTTTAAGCTCATGCACTTTCAGCATCAAAATATAAAACGAGCAGTCTAGCTAGAGTCGTATCATATTAAATTAATGGCGTGCGAACTTAGCGTGCACCATGAAGGTCAATGAATTTCCCCATCAGATATTTTTTTAAAATTGGTCTGGATAAAAATAACCACCCCGGGCATACATATTTCTCACTTTCCTCGAAAATCGGAACGATTGTGACATTTGAGCATGGTATATGACACAGTATGGCTATTAACAGATGGGCTACAAGCTCAATTGATTTTCAAGAACATTATTGACATTTTCTACACTTCATTACAATTAAACAATTTTGAAAAACCTGAAAAAAAGGTAGTTTTTTTCCTCTGGTAAAATTTGAAAAATCAAAATATATTTTTAAAACTCAAGGACATTCACGTTATCCTCCGCCATGCACACTTTCGATAATGGATAGTGTAATTTGTCTTTAATTTGTTAATTAAATTAGAAGATGGATTACAAAAAAAATCAAAAGTCTAAACGTCAAAATTCAAAACTGAGCGTAACCAAAAACTTAAGCTTTTTCCTGAGAAAAAAAAGACAAAAAATCCACCCAACCCAAAAATCACTTTGTTATTTAACACCAAGTATATAACTTATTTAAGTCCAACTTTGCACACCCGCTAAATTTTTCAGGTAAACTTACGTCATCCCGATAACAGATGCTGGCTGCAGATTCCTCTGGTTGATGTCGTCGGCACTGGTCACATTGCGGACAAAGCCCACAACTCTGGAGTGCAAGTTATGTTGTTCCTCATCAGGGTGACACACTGGGACAAAACAGCAAAAAAATTGAACCTCCTTAACAATCCCCCTTTTGTCACCTAGCAACGAATTGCCACCCATTAAATTGGTAATCTATAAATTCCCATAACTTTGGAAAAAATGACCGCAGAACTTTCACCGCAGTACCGTGAAGTACTTTCTCAAGTTTGAGATTACGACGACATTATTTTTCGAATGATATAAAAATTCCGTCAAAAATTGCTAGTCAAAAAGTCGAAACTTGTCTGGAGAAAAAAGTACCCGAGCACAATTTTTTGGTCCCTTTTTTTGAAAGTCGGCACAAAAAGTCCCAAGGTTTGTCTGGAATATGTATGGATTAGTGTTATTCCAATTAAACAGAAGCTTCGTAGCAAATAAAAACTAAAACGGTAGTAGTTTTTGTTAACTTGCCTGGTGGAAAATAGTTCCTGGAACGTAACTGACTTCCTCAAAAACGATTGCAATTCTAAAACTGCCTTTTTTGATATAACGGATTTTTTATCAGATGATTTAGCAGAAAGGTCCAACAACTTAAAGTGAAAAAAAATCATCTTATAGCAATCAGATGATTCAAAATTAGCGCATCCAGACATAAATTTAAGTCCAACCGGACTGTTAAATCATTTACATTACTATATTAAACTAAAATATTTATTTAAATTTTTCTTATTTTAGTTTTCTTTTAAAGAAAATTAAGTTTAAGAAAAAATAATTTAAATTGGTTTTTTAAATGCATATCACTGATTATCGCATATAGACAATGCATCAAACGAAGGTGCTTTGAGCATGAACTCTAATAGAGGCTTGGTTTGAATAATAACTTACATCTTTGAGCGTTGCATCTGAAGACAATGTAGACTATGAGCACAAGGCAGAGGGTTCCGATCACAGCTGTCAGAGGAACCAAACTGAAACAAAAACAGACTTGCTCAGCGGCGGTGAAGTGGTTACATCTCTGCTTTTCAATCGAAAGGTCGGATGTTCGAACCCCAACATGATCCGTGCTCGTTGCTTGAGGGTGAGGCAAAATTTCGCAGTCCATAAATGTAGGTCCACGAGTAGGACTAAGTTTTCAGTCCACTAGCTCCTAATTACGCCAAGTGACTTGCGGAACTTTTATCTATTAGTGGATATATAACTTTGTGGCTTTTGAAGGGACCTATTATGAAATCTACCGCCCAAAATGTATTCTTGTGTAACCTAGCGCCCAAATCAAGCAATTTTACAATTTAAAATAATGAAAATAAAGACACAGCTTGATAGGTAGCTAATTGGCCTTTTTATTGGGATTTTTTTTTAAAATACGTTTTGTAACTTATAAACATATCTTTTTGAAGCCAAATTTATTATTTTTAAGATGTTGATGATGAAGAAACAGTGTGTGTTGCTTACAATGTGAACTCTCGTGGCTGACATGTCTGTTCATTTGTGGCCATACACGCTGATCCACAGCAGAACTGGCCACTAATTGTACAGTCCCGGTTATCGAAACAGGTCTGCACTGGCTCGCACAAATGAAGAGACGAGGAGTGGCACTCGAATTCGAATCCAATTCCACCGTCGTCTGTCGTACTGCTGCAGTTGAAAACAAAAAAATATCAACCCAGGACCCAATTTTATCGAGCGAGCTTGTGGCAGGGTTTTGTTCCGATCTCTCTTACAACTTGCAAAAAGATCCAATTTAGCGGAAAACATAGCAGGGCTCCGCAAGCAATTTTACTACAAAATGTGATAATTAGTCTACAAATATTCCTGTTGTAAAAAAAATTGGTTCAAAACAGCTGCAGCACAATCAAAAACAGTCAATTTGCAAAAAAAAGCCTGCCGCAATTAGCTCTTAAAATGTCCTGCAAATTTCCTGCAAAAGCTTACGTCAGAATCAAGAAGTATTATAAATAAAGCTATCACATACCCGGTTGAGCCAGCCGAACATTTGCAAATCATCAGTGCCAAAAAAACCAGATGAACTGTCATCTTGGACTTCATCAATCCAGATTCAGCCAAAGAGAAAATGCAGATCTTCATCTCGGAAAAATGAACACACAGTAAAACCAAAACTCGAAGGTGATGTTGAAATTTAGGATTTTTAGAAGGTGATCTAGAATTTTAAGATATTTTGCAGTTGATCTAGAGTTTTAAGTTTTCTAGCCGCCAGAACTCTTGTTTGACTTTCGTCTTTTTTCGGCAAAGCGAAATTCAACCAATCTTGACAAAATAGTTAAACTTGAAGACAAAAAACTTGTAGCTTTGGTCAAAATTAAATCAGAGAGTGACTTTTTGTTGAAGTTGCAGCTCAAAAAATGATTTTGTTGACTTCTCGGTTCCAAAACGAGGCGAACGATACAATGCACCAGTAAAAAATATCTCTTTTAAAGTCTGTAACGACTTACTTGAGCAAGTGACGCACTAACGAATCCAGTTGATTAATTTGCAAATCAATACTCTGTAATTTAATCAAAATTCTGGCCATTCTTAGCTATCAAATACAACTTTTAAGCATATATTTTTGTGCCGAAGTTAGAAGTATACCATGAAACATGGCTAAAGCTATAAATTTACAAAGCTTTCATATGATCTCATAAAAATTGTTCTTTTTTATGTTAACTTACACTCCGTCACCACATGAATCGGAAAAACTACTTTACAACCAATCAGAATCGAGAATTGAGATGGTGTGCCTTTTTGTCATCATTGTTGACCAACCGTTCGCTCTTCAAAACCAAAATTCAGCGCGAAGTGAAAAAATGACCGGAGTGTCAATTCGGCCAAAAATGAAACGCATTCAAATTTTTCTTTCGTACGAGATAAAAACCAACACCAAGTACTTTTTGTTTATCAAGCTTGTTTCAATGAACTATTTCAAAAAACCGCAAAAAAGATACAAAAATCATATGATAACATTCAAATCAAACACTATTTTGAACACCATAATTTAGGCAATGACTGAGTCATCATTAATTTAAAATAAATGAGTATGTTGCCGGTCCCCTCCTGAGTGAAAT